AAAAAAAAAAAAAAAAAAATACTAATTCCATGTATAAACTTATTTCCTAAAATTGAGGGTGTCTTGTTTTAATCATGTTTGATATGGTGTTTTGCTTTTCCAGAGGCCTAGATTATTCTAATCCCTGGCATTCTAGCTATGTGCAGGCAAGAAATCAAATATTATCTAATTTGCACATTGTTCATCCAACTATGAAAGTGTTACTGGACCTTGGTTATACAACGTTTGCTGATACAGTTTTGCTGGACTTAACAGGAATTAGGTAAAAATCTTGTATTTATTAACATTTAAAATTCGAATGTCTCCTTACTTGAGTCTGTATTTTCGACTGTGTGATTTTTTGAACTGATTCATAAATCTTCAAAATTTTTCTTTAGGTTTTAGAATTTAAAAAATTTATCTTACTTGTTTCAACAATTGTGTATCAAGACCAATATCTATCATGTGTTTCAAATCATTTTTCTTTTTTTCATATATAGAGCTAAAGGCCCAATTGATTGTGAATCACTGAAAACTGATCTATCAATACAAGCTAGAAAGGCAGAAGAGAAGATAATGAATACATGGTATCCGAAGGTTATAAGTATCTTTACCAAGAAGGAGGCACTAGAAGGCATTAAACCTGAAAAATTGGATGCATTTTATAACTGTGTTTCCACACTTATGTCAAATCAGGTAATATGTTTTACATGTATTAAATGATAATATCAGAATTAGTTCAGTATTTTATTTTTTTTGTCTTTTTTTAGAAGTCTTCCTAGAACTGATAGTTCAGTATTTTAAATAAAATTTTATTTAAACATAGTGCTAAGTAGTATTTTGAAATAAATTAAGAAAAATATTTCTACTATAATTTTATTTAAATAAGTTTAGCAGAAAAATACTGATTTTTCTGAAGCAATCTAAAATGAGAAGAATGTCTCCAAGTATGTGTCAGTATTATGAGTGATTACTTGGCTCATGCCAAGGCTATAAGCTAATTATAGCTTTTTGGAGTTATGTTAACAAAAGAACTATCCTAGTAACATTTTTAAACTTATTAAATTCCAAGTTGATTAATTCTCATATTGTTTTCTGTAAAATCTTGGTTTAAGATGATTATTTATCAGAGGCTGGGCCTGGTGGCTCACGCCTGTAATCCTAGCACTCTGGGAGGCCGAGGCGGAAGGATTGCTTGAGCTCAGGACTTCGAGACCAGCCTGAGCAA